CATCCTTGTTTCCCGAGCGAGATTGCAGCACAGCTCGATCCATTTTCACCAGCCAAAACTCTTCTCCACCAGCCGCGTCGGAGTCTTTCCCCCTCCTTTTACCCACCCACCCACCCAAACACACCTCGGCCATCTCGGGCATCTCTCCAAGTACGATGCCTTGGAGGTGGTGCAAGCAGCGTGGGTCCACCCTGATCCAGCACAGGCTGGCTGCTTAACATGTCCGGTGTCTGCCCTAATTCTCCGTACTTCGCTGCAACAAATTTCAACTAGGCAATACTAAGATATACTATAAGCAACTCCCTCTCTCCGTGCGTGTGATGGGGCAAACGAATTCGGAAATCCTGAGCACCCAGATGGAATTCCACGAGTCTTTCTCCTGGACTCCTGAAGACCTGGAGTTTTTGCACTCATCCCGGGTCGTGCTGACCTGGTCTGAACCCATGCACGAAAAGTGAAGAAACTGTCGAACAACACATGTCATGGTCCCAACGCCAGAGTTGTTCTCGACTAAGCTAGAATATGCTGCAAAAATGCTGGTGAGGAATGAATGCATCTGGACGCCTGCTGTTGCGGTGTTTTTCTTTGGTGAGGGCACCCCAAAAAAGAACCAGAACACCTCACACCACACACCTCAAAGGTGCAATATATACATATATATATATAGTGATCCCCAAACAAATAGAAACGTGTCCAACATATTTTTAGTGGGGATTTACTTTTCTATCTATGACAGGGGGAAATGGACCCCGGTCTCTGCTGTGTCGGTGTCGCTGCAGCTCGCTGTGGCCCGAGTCCCCCGGCGGCATGGGCCCTGAAAGCAACTCGATCCCCGTCGTGCGCCGCTCGCAAAGCTCTGCGCCGAGGTGTGGTCTGCGTCGGACGGAGGAGGTCGAAGCTGGAACAAAGGAAAATCCTGAAGAACATATGAGGGATGGAGGTGCCAGGTATACATGTACATCACTTGTCAATTATTACATCAATTTGGTACACGACCCCGGGTATTCCTTCCTTTTGTATAATTTACCTATGGAATCAATAAGGTGTCTTTCTCTCTGTGTTTCTTCTTCAGCAGCCTGTGTAGCGAAATGACCATCCAAAAAAACAATTTGCAAATGTGACCCGACATGCAAGGGGATGTTCTACAACTTGCACTGATTTTGGGGAGATGTATTGATTGATTTTATACATTGCTTTCTCCCACTGACAACGGAGGATGCGGAGCTTGCATAGCTATAGTCTGAATCTTCATCTGCTTTAAACAAAAAACAAAACATGTTCTGCCGCCATGCTCTGAATGTGGAGATCTTGAAATAGGAGTGTATGTCAATCACCTACCAGTCTATGATAGTCTATGTCTGGAGCACTCAAACAGACTTGGTCGCTCTGATGGCTGCTCCTGGCCAACACCAAGGATCCATCAGGGTGTCAAGGACCCTCCCACAAAAGGCTCCCAGCCAAGTTTGGTCACCAGGAATCATCCGCTTGAGAGGTCAGGGCAAAGAAATCTTCAGGAGTGAGTGCCTTCTTGTTCTCCGAGTGCGGGAAACCTCCAACTTGAGAATCCCTGGGCCCCTAGATATCACAGAACGCAGAAATGAGAATCCCATGTTCCTGCTGATGCTCACGGATTTGGGGTCCGAAGCCAAAGACGACATCATATCCGATAACCATTGCAACTGTCCAAAACGACGATCATTCATCATCTAGTGCAAAGATGCGTTCAACACGTAATACGTGTCCCCAAATCCACCTGTGATCCCCAACAAGCTTCCTACAATACCTCCAAAAGAACATCAGTTTGATATGGTGTGACTATTCCATGTGACCTTCCTCCTGTGATTATGATGCCACTAGCTTAACAGGAGACATGAACATCACTCCTGTGATTCACGCCCGGCCTTCCGCAATGGCGGGCAGCCGACCCATGGGCTCCTCGAGTGACGTTTTTGTCTTCCCCTCCTCTCTGCAGGGCTACGTATAGTATTCAATATGTTGTCTATAGGGCTCACGGAAAGGAACAAGCAAATTACATATATAGTAAGGAAATTGAAGTTTGCACTTTGGCCCCCTCCCAGCCAGTACAATCCAAGACTAAACACCACAGTGTGATGGGCGCAGGGTGAAGCAGGATGGTGCTTCCACTTTCCTACAACGTCATGCGTATGATGTCATAGTATGACGTCATACTGAGGAATGCCAACAGCTGACCGGCATAGCACCACCAGAGTGCACTCTGATATGCACCAGGAAGATCAGCGTATTTAGGGAAGCACTACAGTGACCCTTCATAACTGAGGCATCCTCCCTCCGCCCGCCTGTAAGGCCTTTTGTGAACAGCATAAGACTAGCGAACTAGCCTCCCACAAAAGAATCAAATCGGCAAAAAACAACATACAGTATTATGTAACAATCTCTCTATACTGTCTTGGTGATTTGTTTGTAATTGTTCATCTTCTACAGCGCCTAATTATAAAACGCATTGAAGGGGGCTGAGCTCACAGATGGAATGGAAGGGATGTCCCCACATCGTGGTTCGATCAGCGAAGGAAGCTCCTCAAGGAGATCTGTGAGCGCCGCCTGGTGTGAGGCAGGAGCCCAAACGCAAAGAGAATAGAGCAGAAAAGACTATGATAACACAAAGAACGCAAAAGAATCAGTAACCCACAAATGTTCTTTCTTCCTTGCGGCATGTTCTTCTCTAGAGTCTAGGGGCTTCGGGGTTGCAGGAGCAGGAGCAAGTTCCACAACCGGGAATCAATCAGAAGGTTAAAGCCACCCGGACAGTTGGCTTGCCATGAGTCAATGACATGCCGAAGCCAGGGCTTGGGCTTGCAGTTCCGAACTGTTGTGATGGCATTTAGTTTTTTTTGTCATTGGAGGCAACTGTTTTCAGATTTCAATCACTGCACTTTTCAGGTTTAAAAAATCCAATTGATGAATTGCATATCTCAATGAAGTCGCATGCCATCTCTGAACCCCCACACCTCCATGTGCGCATGCTGCATCTTCATGAACCGAAATTGCTCTCCATGCCTTGGTCGTGGGTCACCGGCGCGAGGGGAAAGCGCAACGAGCCTCCATTCTAACGGGAGAGGCTAGTGACGGCTAGTGGCTAGCCTCTGAAGGCCAATTCAACGGTCACCAAAAGTGACTGATACAAAAATAAAATACAATATATGGAGAGAATCCAATTGTTCTTGACTCTTGTGCAGCCTCAAGAGGGAGGCTCAAAGGCTGCAGCTGACATTGTGTTCAAAACAACCGGTGCCTTCAGAAAGAAACAAACACCCGCGTCCACAACGAGTGTATTATTTGTATTACATATTATGCAAAGAGAAAGTAAGACGGACGGACCGCAAACATGAAAAGGAGTGAATACCAGAGTTAATCATCATTAACTCTGGTATACATTCTTTGTCTTGGGGTACAACCGACATGCAAAATATGCAAGTCAGAAGTATCAGTTAATTCTGGACTTAATTCTACATGGCCTTCTGGACCCGTTAAACAAAGGAAAGATCGAATTATCTGTTTTTGTGCTGTCAGTCTGGCCCATTCATTCGGTTCTGGCTATCTGACTGTGAGTTTTGGTCCGGCCCTAGCTGTAGGATTAATTCCTGTCCTGGAGCTTCCTAAAACCTCCTTTCACCCAGCTAGAACTAAAAGGATCTAAAATGATCTAAACGCCAAGAAGAAAAGAATTAAAGAACCAAATGAAGAGAAACAAACAAGGAGACAAACTGAAAAGGAATTAGCACCAGACTTAATTCTGTAGTTGCACCAGTGGCAAAGCTGATAGAATCAAATCCAGAGTCTCTTCTAGAAGCAAAAGCTAACATAATTGACTCTGGAGTTAATTCTATTTAACTCTTGTATCCAGCCTCTTCCCTGTAAGTACATAATATATTCGCTGTATATTCAATTATATATTAGTTAATTATATATGATATCTAACTAGCAGCATTTATTGTTTAAGTAGCAGCATTTATTGTTTATCCTGTTGCAGTCTAGTCCTTGTTCTTTGTTATGCCTGCCTTTTCAACAACCCCCAAAGAAGAAGAGAAAGCCCAAACCTGACCCAGCCCACATGGCACACGTGGCAAAACGCGTGGTTTTCTGAGAGCTCCAGGGCGCTGGTAGCGAACCAGCTCCAGGAAGCTTTCCAGTTTCTGATTCTTTGGCGCCATCGCCGCGAGTTTCGGTCTTCAAATGAGATGATCTGTTTCGGGCCAAGAAGGTCTTCCAATTCTGTGGGTGGTGTGGGTTGTCCATCCGCAAGACACTCAAACGTTCATGTCGCTTCATGTCGTTCGTATCTGACCGGTGTTGGACCACATGGATACTCATGGGTGCCCGTTCATGTAAAACGTCGTTCTGCGGTGCTGTGTACCTAGTTCCGGGGCTGTCCCGACAGCCAATTCCCATGTCATGTTACCCTTCTGACTTATACTTCTCATATCACTTTCACAAATATGTTATATATCTGTCATATATGTATCGTATGTATTGTTTATTATTAATACATGTCAATACTGTAGGACATGGGTATCTACAACTTCTGATAACCCGTGGTTGCAGTCTTATCACTTCTGACGAGTTTGAACCCAGCGCTGCGGCTTGGTTTCTGGCTTTCATGGTGGCTGCAAGCGGGGCAGATTTTTGAACGGAACTGACTTTCCACCTGTGCCGTGACAAAGTCCATCAAATTCCAAAACGCTGAAGGGTCAAATCAGTGTGCACAGTTGTCTGCCTGCGTAGTTTCAGCATGCTGCCAAAGCCATCGACACCATCAGCTCCCTCCACTTTCACTGCAAGCCACCCTGCTGCTCTGCCCGCCCAACAAAAAGAAATCGAACAAAAAGGCACAAGGAATTGAACCCGCGCGGGCTTGTACAGCAACCATCGTGATCAGATCACCCCAGTCCTGAGTCCTAACCAACCTCACCCAACCATAAACCCCGCTGGTCTCATGCCGTGGGGTCCACTGCACGGGACTCCTCCACCTGTCTGGCCGCCCGCTCGAAGGCGCCGCGCGCGCCCGCATCGCAAAAGCACAGCACGGCCAGCCTGAGGGCTCTCGGCTCGGCCGTGCGAGGCTCAGAGTTTTCGTTCGCACCCGTTTCAACAGTTATGGACCAGGACCTTCAGTTCATGACCTCGGAGTCTCTGGACCTGTGGCCTCTGTCTGTGGGACTAAGCAACCTCATTCTCGGATCTCAAGTTCGGTCACTTAAAAGGTCCTGGGAATTGATTTCAATTTTTTGCTGGTGTTCTTATCAGTTTTAGCCCTAGGGCTGGGGGTCGAACAACCATCAAAAACCAACATCTCCCTCTGACATCTGCTATTGGGCCTCTAGAACAGCACATTGGACCGTCTCGGTTGCAACAGCACTTCTGAATGCTTGATCGTCTCAAGAAAACTGGCCTCAACGAAATGTATCTCATTCCACCTCCCATCATCCCCAATCGTTAGGCGTCCGAAGCAGTACATCCACCCTAGGACTTCAAACTCCTCCCAACAAAATGAACTAAGACATTGCTTTGTATTGTTTTGTAATGTTCTGTAATTTAATGCGTTGCGGAGGTCCAATTGTTGAAATATCATGAAATATCTCTATACTTCCAGGATGCCACTTCCGGGATTGGTGCCCCGCTGTGCCGCCCTGTGCCTGTTTTCCTGTTCGAAGGCCTTGGCCGCCTCTAAGGTCTCCAGTTCCACGGCTGGAGGCCCCGCCTGGCGAAACAGGTGCGGTGAGTGGTGAACGCCAGGACCGGGGTGAGCACTTGATTCACCAAATGAGAGGAGGAGGAGGAAGAGGAGGAGGAGGTCGAGAAGATCCTCCTCCTTAAAAAAATACAAGGTAACAGGGTATCATCAAGTGATTTGGACCTGCAGGCTGAGAAGCGGACTTGACGAGGCTGAGAAGGGATGCAAACTTGTCAAGGTGGTGAACAAACTGGTTGGAGACTGTATCAGGACAAGTCACTGGCTAGTTTATATGAGAAAATTATTCAAAACCTATTCCGCTGCAGCTGGTGTGGGTTATTGTGTGTTTGCATTGAAGGGAGCGCCCACCCCAACCATCGGGGTCTAAGTGCAGCAAGCTGGAGCAAGCTGCTCCACAAGCCCTGATGCGATCCAATTTGGGCTTCGTCCCTCCTCTATAGGTCTGATCATACACCTCCCAGATTACAGCTGCTGGAAGCAGCCATGTTCCAGGAACTGTGCTCGACCACCTTTCCGCATGATGCCCACGCCCACCCTGGCCACCGCCGCAACCACCAAGGCCACCGTGTTGCCTCGCCTTCTTCAGCACCCAGGTGACAATACCTCATGGAACCAAAGGCTCGGAGCATCCGTCGGAAAAGGAAAAGGATCATCACCAAAAAAATCAAGTTGACAAGCCATGCCCCAATAGTGGAGTAAGATGAGTAAGATCCATGGTTTTTGTGGCAGTGCCATGCAGTGCCTATGTATATAAGCAAGGCGTATGGCATATGTATACGGATATGTACGGGTCATCAATCTCATGGCTGCGGTCGTGCCGCCAGGCGCATGCCCTCCAGCCTCATGGACACCTCCATGTGGAGGTGTTTTATGGTTTTATCATCTTCTTTATGTTGGCTTTCTGGTCGTACCTAACTACCAGGCCCTAAATCAGGGTAGGCCACTTCCGTGAGGAAGTAGATTCGACCCGATGTAAAGGGAACGGATCAATAACCGGTTGGATAGAGCAACCAGCTGAGCTTTGTTGGAATGACTGGAGGTTTTTCCTTGAATCTATGCTTACGTGGCTTCGCCGAGGTGTCGCACAACATGTGCCTTTTCCTCACCACGGCGGCAAAGCGGCTCTGTTCAGTTCGGCCACCAGTATATTCCTGGAAGCTCAAGCAGGCTAGGTAGAAAGAAACAGTGTAGTTGAAAAGCCTTGAACAAGAACCTCCCAACCCACCCTCACTTTTTTTAAAAAAATATGGAAAAGCCGGACACCCTGCCAAAGAAATCGCCAAACTCCTAGCATTGGACAAGAACGACTCCGACTCTAAGGGATGGGGCGGTTGTATGTTGCAAAAAGAAGTCATTAAACAAATCCTTTCCAGGAGCCCTGAGCCATGTTCAATGAAAGCTGGTGGGGAACAGCGGTGCAATGTTACTTACAACATGCTTGCCTTTCACCCTGGAAATCATCCCCATTAAAACGCGTCTTCTTGCAATCCTTTGGATTGTTGCTGTTTGGTTTTTCCTCTCTCGTGTCTTAGGTGTTGTTTTCCCATGGGAACAGCAATTAAGAACACCAAAGGTTTGAGAAGCTCACGGTCGTGTCCCCCGATGCAAGTAATATAATATATATATATTATTATTTTTGCATGCTACCCCTGACTCAATCAAGCCTTCCCGCAATCTCGTGGCTTGTAGCCTTCACTTGTTTCCTTTCCTTTGCTCTCCCCCTAGTTCAGGTTGGCATCAGATTGAGCTATATACACAAGTCTAAGGCCTTCAATCACCTTCCGGGGGCCAATCGATGGCCCAATCAACGAGTCCCCAAAAAAGAAAGCGACCTGCATGGGCCCGGTCATCTCTGTCACTCTCCCGGCCTGATCCCGGCCATCAATGAAGAGGCGAATCGTCGGGTAGCCTGAGGTAGCGATTCGGTCACCCCGAACACGTCGGTTGTGTGTTGAAGTGGACACGTCTTCATGTGAGACACATGAGATCAACTATAAATAACCGTTCCAACCTGCCTCTAGCAAAACATCTGGTTGCTTTGGTACAACTATGAGATCAACAGCTGCCTTCTTGATTTCGCTTGACCACACTCTCTGATGCACACAGCGCTGACAGTGACACCTACACTGACCTACAGTCAACACACCGAACCCCTTTCCTACAAACAAAAAGGAACAAAGTGACGCACCACAACTACAACATACTATACACACGTCTGTAGACTTAAATTTGCCGCTTGGGATGTCCAATAGCAACCAATTGATTCCACCATGCTCGGCATCGCTCCTACCTCTGACGCCATACTCCTCGGCGAGTTTCAGCTCAGCCGTGGCATCCACCCGGCGCAGCTCAGCAGGTACTACATGGGTTGCCCGCTAATTTTCGGGATGCCCTGCAGGTCCACATGCGAAGCAACTGGCGCACCAGTCCGACTGGCAAGGTCCATAACCTGAAGGGGAAGGTCTAAGGAACCTACATGAACCTACATATATACATATACACATATACCCTACCTAGAATTCCAAGACTATAAAAATAATGGTTGGCCTGGTTTTTCTCTAGTGTAAAATAATGTAAACTCCTTTGTTTGATTCAGTAAAGCCCATTAGATTAATGCATAATGCTGAATAGATTTTGAGGGAGAAAAGCAAGATCTGTGCCTCGATGTGAAACCATTAACCAGTTGAACCATCTAAAGCATGGTACGCGACTTTAGTAATTTTATTTATACTATATTTGTTGGATCTTGTTGGTTTAGTTTGCGAGCTTGGAACCGATGAGTCTCATTGTCGTTTCTGGGATCGAACAAGACGGTGGAAGGTTCTGGCTCGGCATTTGGCTGGTTCCGCAGCTTGGGTTGGCTATGTTGGAGATTGTACTGCGGGTTCTCCCAGTGTGTTGCTGCTTGTGACGGCCTGCACTGTGACAAAGCAAACGGCCCGCACTGTGACCAAACATCAAGATCGTCACATCGAATCGATCGTCACATCGTCCCTGAAATCATCATGGAAGTGGAACATGGATCCGTAAATGACTGTTCTCCTGTAAAAAAAAATTGGGTCTTAACTTCCATTTTCAGCGACTCGGAGTGTTACCTTCTTAGTGGCCCGGATGTATGCCTCGAGTCCCGGACAGGATGGCCTTGGAATCGTTTGATTTCTTGTCCTCCGGACCTCTTTCCTGCCCTACAGCCCTGTTAGCTCCTTGTGCCTCCTTAAGAGGCAGGCGTAGGGCCTCAGGACAAACAAAGGCTAATGCTAACAGTTGATCAAAAACAGCCCCTAAATACATGTGATGGATCATAAGCCTCTACATACCTGGATGAACCAACGTCTCCATATTGGTGCCCTTTGATTCATCCACCTTCCACACCGCCACGACCCGCCTTCGCCAGGCGGATCGGCTGGTTCGTCTGCTTGAGCTGCCGTGCCGCGCCCGCGTACTCCGGCGCGAACCTGTGGATACGCAGGCGGCCCGCGAAGCGAACCGAGAGGAACCAGCGTGTCACCCAGAAGTCTTCTGAACACTTTGAGGCATCACAAACCACAGCCAAGTTCATACATTTTTCCAAAAATGATATAATTGGTCAAAACCAGGTGTTGAAGTTTCGTTGTTTGGGGTGCCTGCGGAAAAAACAGAGCAGTCTTTGTCCATGTTATGTCGTTGGGGGACAAAAGCCGGGGCATGGCTGAGGTGCGAGCTGCTGCGGTGCTTCTTCAACTGGCGTGTTTTCGCCTTTTCGCTTGTTGGTCTTCGATCTGGTGGGTGACTCCCCAAACTTGGCCACCTAGGTCCATCCGGCAGTCGTTCACCCTCCATCACCACGCTGTCCGACCACTCTGTAACCACTGATCCAAGGAGCTGCTTACAGTGCCCACACCAGGGAGCAAAGAACTGCACCAGGATGTATGGGTGGCTCTTGATGGCCACTTCGAAATTCTTCCTGACAAATGGAACTCTCCGCCCTGTGTCACGCATATTTCAGACAGAAAGAAACACACAACAGGAGCCGGTCTGAGCGCCCAAAAACCCAAGAAGCACATGCATATCCCCCATATCGCAAGAGGCTTCGGTGGATGGATATTTGACCTGCTGAGATCTACCGTCAAATAGTTTGCCAGGTATGGAGCTTGGAAAGTTCAGAAAATGCAGGCCCAACTCCTGTTGACGCATCGCGTTGACATGGAGGGCACAAATGCATCAGGATCGCATCGAATTATATAGCAATTTCATAGTGCAAAAACTGCAGCATACAACCTTCGAAAGGGTGTGCACTCTATGACATTGAAACAACGTACATTGATAGCCAAAAATATCACTATAAAATGGCCCCCACATACCGTCGAACACCTAGTTCAGCAAAGGCAAAATAGAATATATTCCTATATAGAATTGCCCACTCCAGCCTGTCAAACAATAGCACATCTAGATCTAGGTACCTACAAAGCAAGAATTGAAGGTTGGGCGCTGGGTTTTATAAAGAGGAAAGTTGTCGGCTTAATAAGGACATGTGTGTGTGATGATTTTTTGGAGTGCACCTCTTCAATGATGAGAGTCTGCAACTCACAACCTAGAAAATGCCAAACAACATGTTCAAAAATTGAAGCAGCCAGGCCGCCAGGCTTCTATCTTTTGTAACATGCAAACAGCATGTCACTATAGAATAACAAACAATCGGTCTCTGGTCCTCATAATAAAATCCTAACATTCCTCCAATTGCAAATTTTCATACTCAAACCAGAACAAACTGTCCGTATTAAAAGAAATCGATGCCCAACCCCATCATTTAATAGAGGAAATCGCCAAGGGGATACTAATTGATATTAAAGAATATGTGTAAATATGTATATATATATATATACAAGTACATATCATGGGTCCAAGTGGATGCTCTTTTGACGCCAACATGCCGCTCGGCATGTTTTTGGGTCTTGGTCCTTGACCCACTTTCATCTGCTCTCCAAGGTGCTCAGTTAAGACCAGCACCCCCTCCTCTTCAGGGAATTCCAGGCCATCCTCTGCTGGCAGAAGGCTCCATAGCAAACTCCACAGTAGCGCCCGAGCTAGGCACAGCATCACCTCGACAAGCAAGGCCCGGGTGTTCGTACCCTGCGAATACAGAGAATCTCTTGGAACTGAAACTCTGTTCATAGCATACTCTGTGCACATATATATTGTAAAGCCAAAAGGTCTGTAAAACATGTTTGTGGCCCACATAGGGCCCAATTTCCTGGATCACTTGACAGACCCCAAATTGACTGTGCTATGCTGCACCAATAAGGCTTGTTGCAGCTTCAGGCCCTGCCTCACCTCTTCTTCAGCGCATCGGTGTGCGCAGGTGCCGGGACAACAACTCGTTTCAGCCAAAGCGTGGCATCCGAACACAATGGAGCTGGTTGGTTGGTTGGTTGGTAGTTGAAGACCCAGTTTTGCTCCAACAGGCAGCCAGGCACCCAAAAGTCATGAGGATCGAAACCTAGATGCGTTTGTAGATGCAATTGAGCTTTGTCAGGGCATTGAAAAGAGACCAGCCATGCAAATAACGTCTGTATGCACACAAAGTGCAAAACAAAAGGATCCGCAAATATCTGCAGTGAATCAATACAGTCAAAGACTCGGTCCCTCCTGCATGAGTAGTATGCTCCCCCCAGCTGCTGCCCTCTTTTGCACTCAGGCCCCACGGGCTTATCCCGCCTCTTGCTGACTTCAGCTAAGTCAACAACAACAACAACAACAACAACACCAACATCTCATAAACCTAAACTGACAAAAGGGAAATTTGCTTGCATTCACAAAACGCTGTCCATCAAAAGTAGATGTATCAAATATTATATATAGCGAGAGAGAGCGCAAAACATATTTGGTTCCATCGGGAATGCATATTGACATATTCCATGGAACCCACATCATCGGAAGGATCTCCTCAAGGCACGGAATATAAACAATACCAGTACGTCAAAGGTCTTGTCTTGTCTATCTTGTCTTGATCGTCACGTCCTGTTTCTGAAAGAACCTCCAGTCAGTCACAGGGCTCACCTCTTGGGCTCCAGTGAGGTCAAAGCCAAAGTCTGCCGAAGTCAAGGAGCCGCTCGCCAGTGGCAAATGATTGGAGGCACGATAGCCAGGGTCAAAGGTTGGTGGAGGCAAAATTGGACAAAGCATCACCATCCACTGGAAGGAGCGGATGACAATTTCCATAAATGACTAGTGGCTGGGGATGGCTAGGGCTCATTTGAACCTGGAATCCATGGATTCAATTGGCACACAACTCCGAGGTAACGTTACTTAATGACTCAGTAATGTTCAGTACGAAAGCAAAACAGCAAACTGAGCAGTTCAACAGGACACACTGGAAGAACATGGTTCCTTTGGCCCCAAATATGTTCACTCCGGACTACATGATGGCTCAATGCACAATACGGTTGTGGTATGTTATGGTGCACAGTACACATGATACACCCCCCCCACCCAACTCTTAGACCCTGCAGGCGCTTCGATCTGCAAAAGGTGAAACGGGATCCACGCACTCTGCGTGGCTTGGCGCACTGGAACTTCTGCGATCGAGGTTGTCGCAAAATCATCCACTCACTTGTTGCTAAGAGGACTGTTGGTAAGAGAGCTTACTTTCAACTTGGGATTGATTGGGCCACACCACCTCAAAAGCACAAGGTCACGCTTCTGGATTGACTCTTCCCCCCCCACTTCTACATCGCTGATATCGCTGTTCTGTCCAACCACCCGGAAAGCGGTACCCAAATCCCACAGAAACCGGGACCACGAACGGCGGATCCGGGCGTGGGACGCCCTCTTCTTCGTCGGATCCGGGCGTCGTTCTGAGCGAAGGGCACAAGAAAGCAATAGAAAGCACATGCGTCAAACAGAATGGGCTTGCTTCAACATGGCAAGCGAGTGACAACAAAACCCATGAACATTCACAGTTTGGGTGAAGCTTAGACAATTATGTTTCAAGTTTCAAGTCTAACCCAAAAAAGGAAAACAATATCAATAAACACAACAAACCATTGACACCAGTGGGGTCTCTGAGCATTGCTGCGGGGACCTCAACCCTGAAGCCCTAATCTTCCATGGCTTCATCCTCTCCATCACCATCCTCCATGAAGAGCTCGTCTGGCAGGGCCGCCTGCGAGTCACCTGGTCGACGACCATTCAGTGAAGGATGAGGTGGTGGAGGTGGTGGTACCGCCGGCGAGGACGACGGATGTGGCTGGATGCGTCTGCAACCCATCGAGGAGTCTGAGAAAGGACAGCTACAAAACAAGAAGCCTCTTGATTGAGTGCATGGCTCTTGCACACAACCACCTTCATTCACTTTCATAACCATGTGTGGCGTTCGTCACCCGGATCAAACAATTTGATTGGCAGCTTGCAGCGTCTATGGCACCGCGACCACCTGACCGCAGTGCAACCCAAAAGCAAGAACCAGTCTGATGAAGCCTTGCAACTTGGGCACTGATGACTGCCACTCAAGTCAGCCCTAGAGGGCACCTGCCAGGACCTGAGGGACTCCAGAACACTCTCACCATCTCCGGCTGACCCTTGTATACCAACCTTTTCTGGACCAGATTTTTATATTATATACATGGTGATGCTACAAAAAGCGAGTTCTGTTCTGAGAATATATAACCATGCAAAGACTTCCACTATTACAGGGGTGGGTCCAGACGCGCCGTCCACTTCACTTCCACCGGCCAAGGACCGTGCCCTCTGCACGCTTTGGGGCAGCCCTCTGCATGTTTTCCTCCTCACCACCAGTATATAGTACAACCATCAATGGCATGGAGAAATAGGAACACCGGACCTGCAGCATGTGATTTCCTGTTGGCGTGCCTGCGGTGTGCATCACCTCTGCACCCCCACTGAGTCAACCTGAAATCCCTCAGTGGCACTCAAGGACACCGCACTCCACTGCCCAAGGCGCCAATCTTGGCACCCACATTCATGTTGGTAAAGTGGATGCCGCGCCTGAAATCAAAAGAAGGAACCGCCCTGCCAAAGCAAGAGACCACCCACATGTAGCTGATTCAAACACTTGGCACCCGCGCATGCGTTCCGAAAAGCATGTTTTCAAAGTGCTTCCATTTTATCGGTTCAACATGGTTCAACGGTTCAACGTCCCAAAATGTAATTTGAGCTGTAAGTTAAGGTGTCGAACTAAGTTGTTCCAGTTCCTAATGCAACTTATAGATATAGGTCTTGATTGCAAGAATCCAGAATGTACTACGTAGTCTATTTGTGATGCAGCCCCCCCAAGGATTCTAGTAGGTAAAATAAGGGGAACTCAGGTAGCTCAAGCTACCTTTCGTGATTTGAGTCCACCAACAAAAAACCTGGCCAAAAATCGAGTCAGAGCCAAGGCGCTTGTTGAACTCCAACAACAGCTTGAAGTAGGTGTCTAAATCGATCCTTCGCCACGACACGGGTATTCCCGTGGGAATCCGCGCGAGGTCATCATAGGTGGTCGGTCATTGGAATCAAGCTAACGTCGTGCCTCCTCCTGGCCGAATCTTTGCATCTAAGAATTTGCTAATTGGCGTCCACGGACCCTGTATCTAAACCATAGAAGTAATTTGCTCCAGTTGGTGATGAGGGTTAACGGTTACCCCAGCTCCTGGCCTATACATCCTCTTTGACCCCAAGTCAGTGGCAAATAGTTTTGGATTGACCAGGTCAGATGGCGTTCATACCTTCAGGACTTACCTGGCTTCTGGAGCCAGTCACCTTGCACATGCTGCAGTACAGGGCAATGGGATGCAACATAGACCTAATATGATAGGCCTCAGACTGTCCGTTGTTGTCTATATATATATATATACATTTGTTTATCAATAATTCAATAATACAAGTAGGTGGTGTGGTGTCATGGAGTATGCCTCCACCACCCCTCGTTCATATACTGAAACCACTTATCCATATCTCTGTCTGCCAAGCTTCTTGATCGCTCGCTTCTCTGCAAGTTTCAGTGTGCTCAAGACCTCGATCACCTTCTCCTGCAAACTCCACAAGATCCCCAACCCTAGGGATCCGGTCGTACCTTCTCAAAAGGTGATTGGAGACACTGTTATTCAGGTTTGGAGGGTCCAATCGCACCTTCTGAGAAGGCACAACTGGATCCCTAGGGCAAGACTTGGTCGTTCAGAACTTGCAAACACCAATGCCTCAACTTGCCTCAACCCTGACTCGGTGAGACTGAAGCTCTGGAAGACCCACCTGCTTCGGCCCAAGCGGTTTCGTAGGGCTTCGGCTCAGGGGGTCGTGTGGTTTAGCTCTACACCGTAAGAAGCCCTCAGTGTGCCCACACTGTTTGGGGAATTATAGACTCCAGACTGCCAAACTGCTCAGTTTGTCCACCCCAAACAGAATTTGGCCCACCCACTTGGGTCAACCCGCGACTCCTTAGCCCATGGCCCATGGCCCAAACCAAGGGGCCTTGCCTTCATGGTCCGCTTGTCAGGGCGGTTTCCAGTGAGAGCGCACCAGGTCGTGTAGTTGTCCTGGACACGAGGGGCACCCATCTGGACACCAAAACCAACTGTGAACAACGGATCCAGTGTGAAGACGTGCATGAGTTCAGGCGCACAAGGCCGCACACAACCGCACACGGGAACAGTCCTTGAAGCTGTGGTCTCCACGTTTGGGGTCTTGGATGGTCTTGGACCCTTGGAGTTGCCCATGCTCTTGACTGGGAAATATTCTGGGTGCAAAGGGGGGGTGGCTTCTGGCATGAATATGTCTGAATTCCTTGATAGGACCTGAATCATGATTAGATGTCGGGGTTGGGGAACTCCCTGTAGCTCCGAGCGGCTCCCTGTTCAATGGGGAAGGACTGGATAGCTTCGAAGAGCTCTCGGAGAGCGTGCGGTCACAGTCACTCAACCATGGATCTGTGAAGGTCCAACTTGGCATAGTTTGGTCCAACGGCAGCGAGGTCATGTTCACCGAAAATTCCCCACAACGATCCTCCAAGGTCTTCAAGGTATAGGACATGCAGAAGGAGGACCTCAAGGTCTTCCTCAGGTCGGGCATGCGAACGCGAGCACCAACACAAGTGACCATGT